ACTTCCAATGTGGAGATGGCATTGGTGGCCGCCATCAAAGTTAGTGAGATATTGAGTAAAGTGATTTCGTCCTTCTCAACCACACTTGTGTGTTGTTCATTTGGTTCAGAGTCAATGTTTTGAAATAAATCGGAAACAATGCATAAATGTGCATTAGTAGGATGATGTGTGGACATATATGTCATTTCCTAGCCTCTCAAAAAAAAATGTGTACACTCATAGTTATGATATAGACCTTTCTCACATTTTTTTTCTGCTTGGTAACTTTTCACTATTGAGAATTCTCAGTTGTATGCAAGCTTCATAAATATGAAATACCTTAAGTTGCACAGATTACTAACACGACTGAAATTGCACCCCTGTGCAGTTTTAGTACAATGTTATAAGATTTTATTAGTAAGTTATAAATGGAGTACGGTGAAAATGGGATAATTTGATATACATCAAAAGGCTTAGAAAGTGGTAGAGATTCAAGAAAATCGTAAGCACCATACAAATCACAGTCCCACATGCACACCACCCCAGAATATCCATCTATGATTGTTGCGGCTTGGAAAAATAATTAATAGTGCCCCAAGCTTGCCGCAACTAGAATTATTCGTCAACTACAAAGCCCATGCCAAATAGTAACATCCTTCTGTGTTTCTCACTGCACTAGCTGCAACATGACGTAGGCGCAACTCTATTGCTAATGAGATCATAGCATACTAGTGTAGCCTTCCCCTTCATATCTCGTTTCTTACAGAAGAAAAACAACATGCTGCCATAATGATTCAGAATTGAGGGGACATGGAATTGCACTAATCGTCGTGTAGTTCTCCAAATCCTGCATGGGCTTGTCACACGGGTTAATAGTTAGACTATCACGAGATAGAAGGCATATCCAGTTCTTGATACTTCCATGCAAATCCTCATCATCTCCACCTAAAACTAGTGCACCAAATCTCTCTTGAAAGCTTATTTATGTACCTTTTATTTAGAGAAAAGGCATACACCCGACTTTATAAATAAAGCCACTAGGCAGAGTACGACATAACAACCACACCACGAGCAAACCCAGACAAGATAGTAGCATAGGCCAATAACCATGGCATGCAGGCCAAATAAGTTTAAGTCACGCCACGCAGTCCAGCATAATAAGCACAGTACAGGCACAGGGGCCAACAACCTACCCCTACTAATCAAAAGAAGAACAACCGAAGTTCGAACATCAGGGTCTGGAGATGACAGTGAAGCGGTAGATGCTCAAACCTTCGAAATCAGCACCTCCAAAGCATCACGATCAGCATCTTCTCTTGAATGCTTATTTATGTACCTTCAAAGCATCGGATGAAAGCGTTCATGTATCGCTGTCACAAGTCGGAAGAGATCGAATACACTAGATTAATCCTTTACCACTAACCAGCTGGTGTTTATTCACTAGGAGTGCGGACATTGCATGATATTAGGTGAAATTGTATTATTGTCATGCTCACAAAGTAGAAATGTGGATCATTGAAAATTAACGATGTACTGCTAGTTTATGGAGTGTTGTAACACTCCTAAAATAACTACAAAAATCCTTCTATTTATCATTTTTTTAATTTTGTTTTAAGTTACTCCCTTCATTTTTATATACAAGGCCACTATGGAATATACATTTTGCATCTATACAAGGCCACCAACAGTAATCGAGGCAAAATTAATGATATTTTCTCGTACTAACAACCTGTTTAATAGTTGCATGCATGCAGTCATAATGACAGTCAGCTACTTCCTCCACTCAGTTTTCTTACATGCATGTGCGGTATTAATGATCCCAGTAAACGGATAGAAAAGCTGACTTTCAAAGCAAACATTAAATTTTACATTGATACCTGTAATTTGAGTTTGTGGCCTTGTATATAAAAATGGAGGGAGTACTATGTTAGCTATTAATCAACTAGTTTGCCAAATCCTTATTTCTAAAAATCTAAAATATACACATACATTTTCAAAAAATCCATAAAAAATCAAGTATACTGCTCCCTTCGATCCATATTACCTGTCGCTGAAACGAATGTCCATTTGAGCGACGAGTAATTTGGATCACAGGGAGTAGTAAAGAGCAAGATTTTTTTGGTAAAGGTTGTATTACTTCCGAGCTGTATAAATAGAAATCTATACCTACAAGATGTCCTCGAACCTCTCCGTGATCTTAACGCCGCACCTTCTCGCTTCTCCCCCTCCTCCTCCCATTTCTTTCCCCGAAACCCTCTCCTAGCTTCCTTAGAGCAGTGGCCGAAACTGCGCTCGAATACCTATTGATGGGCCGGCCCACAGAAAATCAACCGAAGCAGGTGGTGCGCGCCGCATACTACAAGCGCTATAACTTGCGCTACGAGCGACGAATAGGAGTTGGCCTTGATTTGCGCATCCCCGCCTCGACCAGCGCTGCCCGATCGACGGCCACCCGGCGATAGTGCATGAATGTGGTAGTTACACAGACCTAGCTACTGGCGGCCATCGCACTTGCGCAGCTGCTACCACCGCCGGCCGAGCGGAAGGACGGCTCCCAATCCACTGCTCAGGACAGGGACTCTGGCGGAAACCTATTGGTGATGCCTTTGCTTTCTAGTAGCAGTGTGTTGCTGCCGTCCAGATCCACTCCGGCCCTCCTATGGCAAGAAACCTCATAGGAATTTTAGCTGAGAATGCAAAGTCTCCCAGCGTGATTTAAACTTCCAGTCAAACCATTAGATATTTATAGATGAGAATGCAGAAACTTGCACGGGTTCCCAAATTTCAAAAAAACAATACAGCAGCATTGAGAATGCAGTTACATGGACGGGTTCTCAAATTTCAGAAAAGAAAAGACAAGATGCAACGAAATCTGACATGTACCCATGACATATTGGGTATTCAAGTCTTGACTGTCTGTCTATCCAGTCACACCATCCCCTGTTTCAGTTGCATTGAGTCCACTCATATACAAACGTGGAAATGAAACCAAATGATCTCACATCTTACAAATATAATTTTGTCCACATTACATGGTAGAATCAAGACTTGATCCCACATCTTACAAATATAATCATATGTCCATACTACATGCTTCATTGTATTTTTTTCCCTGAAATATTTACTTACATATACTTGCAGCATCAGCTGCATTAAGCTCATCCATATACAACCGTGGAGATGAAGGCAGAAAACACAAACGGGCAGTACTTTGATCACACATCTTACAAATATACTTCTGTCCTCACAACATTACATGTTGTACTTCATTTATTTATGTATATACTCACCATGTCCCTGTATGGCTGTTTCTGGAAAATGCTTCTGTATCTGTGTCCGTGCTCCTACATCGGCGTTTCTTATATGGCCATGTCTAGAAGCATAATAAGTCAGACAATTAGCAACAGTTCTAATGAAGAGACAAATGGAGCAGAAAAGGCAACAACGAGAAAGTTAGAAACATGTGCCGACAAATATAACTCGCTTCTGTAATATATTTTTACAGTGTCATGCTTGATACTAGCAATAGATTAAAAAATATCCACACTTGTTGCTAAGTGGAAGGAATATTCAGAATGGAGACATGTAAACTCATCCCTCATCATGTCAAGCAAACAAGATTATGCCAAAATAATAAACTATTAGAGAGCAAGAAAATTGATGTTGGGTATTCTATTCTAAATACAAGGATCCCGAGATAAGAAAGTTCATATAATTTCTATGTCCTACAAGTGTGACAAATGAACAAATGACAAAAACACTGTTATTTCAGAAAGTATGGATTCAACGAAGTTGTTTTCATGGAGTTAAGATTAATACCAAGATCAAAACATATAACGATGGATGAAGAATAGAACTTGCTTTGAGGTTTCAAAGTGCCAACTGAATTACTCATTTGGCATTTGATTTTGGTATTAAAATAAGTTGTACTAAAACAATATGACTATATATTCATCCATCTAGCAAAAGGGCAATTATTAACTAAGTTTTATCACCAGAAATTGCTTACTAAGTTCAAGTTGTAAATGAAAATCTGATGTACCACAATCATTGTGTGCAAGCAAGCATGTACATAACATAACTGAATTGGGTTACTCCTCAAATAAAATAAAAAAGGATGAGCAGTCACCTGGTGGATAGAAACTGGTGAAAGGGTGACAGCGATTCATCGAACCGCTTCCATCAAGTTTTGTGGATTTCATTGAGTTAAGATCAACCATGTAGGCACTGTCAACACACAAAATGATCACATTGCTGTCCTCCTCATAGCCCCTTAATTTGCAATGCCACACTCTCCTACCAATCTGAGGGGGGATCCCAAGAACGTTATGCATATCAATTATCTTTGGATCCAACCACGAGCTAAAGCCCTTACAATCTACTTTCATTTCACGCAACTCCATGTTTGGGAATGAAAACGTGACCAAGCCAACTGCGCCTTCCTCTGTTTTGATGATCCCATGGCTGCCGGAATCAATCATACCAGTAGGCCACTTGATCACAGTTAGTCTCTGCCTATCCAAATCAAACTCAAGTAGACCACGGGCTTTAGGCGAAAGGAGCCAGTAGAGCCGATTATTAACAAGGGTTGCCGGAACATCAGAATCAACGGAGCATGGAGCCTCCTTTGAGACGGACGCACTCCATTTTTTCGTTCTTGACGAATAAACAGAGGTAATGAATAGATCATCCATAGAGAGCTTTGACAGCAATACCACCTTAAAGGGGCTCAGGTGACACATGCCATGAACATGGCCGTGGTCGTTGGCATCACAGAGCACCGCCCCATTGAGGTAGAAGCAATCCGGCGGCTCAAACTCACGTGGAACGGACAGGGTGCACACCTCGCCAGAGAGTGGGGCAAACACAAGAAGCTTTGCATACTCACGGTGTACAGCGAGCACTCGACCATGTCGGCACCCACGGATGTCGTAGCCGGACGGGATGGAGAAGAGCTCAGCAGGGAGACGGTCGGAAGGGTGGAGGAAGCCCTGCTTGAACTCGTTCTTCCATCGGCGCACAAATAAGCCGAGAATGGGTGGCGGCTTGCAGTTCCTGCTGTGGACAAGGAACTGGCTTTTAAAGTTGGGGTCGGTGGCGATACCTCGCCAGCGCGTCGAGACGGCGGATGCGCGGAGGCGGGAGGACGGCTTCGGTGGCAGAAGGAGGAGGATCTTCCAAAGCATATCCAACGGCAACGGCAGCCACTTCGATGGGGCAGGAGGACGTCTGCTGTCGTCCAGCAGCGACTCCGACAGGGTATCGCCGCCGTCCGGCAGAGGGACAGGCACCTCCGCGCGGCGGCGGCGGCTGGGACGGGTCGCCCCGTCGTCGTCCTCGCTGGCGTGGATTCGGGAGCGGCTGCGGCGGCGGCCGGCCATTTCGGCGGCCTCCTCGGTCGCGTCGATTTGGGAACGGCGACGCCGGCGGCGGGCGCCGCCAAGGTGGAGGTCGGGGTGGGTGGCTGCTCCTCGGGGCTTAGGGTTTCTTTCTGTTTATAGGATCATGTTATTGGGCCCCGTCGGCCCAAGAGCAAGAATTTCCTGGCCCGGTCAAAAGCCCACGAGTTTAATTAAACTGAATGTTGCACTGTGTAAACTGGATTTAAACTCATTGTTGCACAGATGCAAATGGAGATGCAGATGATCATCAAAGGATACAAACTCACTGTGCAAACTGAATTTAAACCGAATGTGGCACGGTGTAAACTGAATTTACAGTAGCCAAATCTAAACTGAATGGAATACCGTGTAAACTGAAACTTGACAGGAGTACAATTTGCAAAAATGTCGACATGAGTAAAATTTGGACACTAGAAATTTCGATCTTTGAAAATTTAAACTAAAGTGAAAATGTAGATCATGATAAGGAAACTTGAAGAAGATCATAAATTTGTTGCAACGTCAGGAGTACGGTAAATTAATTTAAGAACATAGCACTGTGCATCGTTATAAACTTGCAGTACATCATGATAAGAACAAGGTACCATACTGCAGTACAAGAACTTTGGCTGCAGTTATTTGCGGTAAATAACATGTGTACTTGAACTTCCTTGCAAATTTCGCAAGCAAAGTTTGAATGCAATTTTTTCAAGCAAAGTTTGAATAACTTGGCAAGTAACATTTGCAAGCAATGTTTGGTTGCAAAATTTGCACGCAAAAGCAACACTTCATGAAATTTTAGTTGTTTGCAGTCAATTCAAATGATAAGATGCTTGAATGTGATAAAGCCTTGATCCATATTGGGAACATGAATATGGCATTATGAGTATTAATTGGTATTACTTGAAGACAATTTAACATGAAAAAATAAATTAAAAAATAAAATCTTTAAGTGGTTCTCCCATATAATGACTACTTGTGTACCTAAAAATATTTTTTGCTAATTTTTAGGGCTGAGAGCTATCACACACTTGCAGTTCAAATTTCAATTACTTTAGGAAAATTGACATAAAGTCATTTAAATGTCTGAAAGTAACTATAAAACTAGAAATCAATGAAACTTAGTAATTTTGCATAGAACATGGTCTACTTACTGTGATAATTGGAGTGGTGCCATTTTGCACCCTCATTTTTGTACTTGCTTCACAAAAAAACACCCATTTTTGACACTTAGAAAATGAAAATTGATTTTTTTATACATAAAAGTAGGAAATTTTATTTGGCAACATTGTTTGTAATATCAAGATGCATCTATGTGTCTAATTTGGGACCATCTAACTATAAAGCCTCCTAGAGTGGTAGTCACAACCGATGCCTCAAGAGCACGACACCACGCAAGGCAAAAAAGACCACCGCACCGTGCCTGCGCGTGGGGTTGCAGCGCACCACGCAAGCAAAAAAACCACCGCACCGCGCTCGACGTGCACGCACCGCACCCGTCCGCTTTCTCCTCCTGCGAATCTCCCCACGCGCACGAACCCTAGCCGCCGCTCTCCTCTCCCGCGACCCCCAACCACCATCGCTCCTCTCTCCTCTGCCTCGACCCCCAACCACCCAACCCAAACTCCGGCGGCCTCCTCTCCCTCCAGCGCCGCCGCTCCACCATCACCTTCCTTCCTCTCCAAAGGAAGGGAAGGGAAGGGGAGGGGAGGCCCCAGATTGAGCGGAGCGACGCCCAGATCCGCAGCGGCACCGGCACCAGCGTGCCGTCGTCCACCTGGCCTCTTCCTCTGGCGGATGCGCGGGGCATCGCCGGCCAGAGAGGACGGGGAGGAGATATGCCAGCGAGGGAGGCGGCTCGCCTTGGACCGGCCATGGCGCCGGCGTTGCTAACTCCCACGGGCCTCTCATTTCCCATCTTTTCTGGTTGCACCTCCCACCGTTCCTTCCTCTAATCCCCTTCTTCTCTAATTTAATTCCCGTTTTTAGTTTCCTGCTGTCTATGGCTACTGTAGATTTTGTTCCTGCCCACTTCTATATCTTCATATAAAATATTATGAAACAATGTTCTGTTTCTTTTTTGGAGTAGGAAGTGATGAAACAAGCAAGGAGGAAGGGCGTAGTGTTGGATATTTGACCAGGTTAGGATTGTCTCCTGTTAAGTATATGGTCGTGTATTCTATTTTTACCTCGCTGTCACTAAGTTTGATTTGATTATCATCTCTGACGAGTCTATATCATTTAGTTTTGCCATTTGTATTTTTGTGATTGGTAGATAAAAGCTTGCACAGTTGCACTTGGCGTTTATATTACTATATATTCAGCTAATCATACAAGAACCATCTTTGTAACAGATCCAGGTTTTTATGTGTCTCCCTGTACTTAAGGCCTATGTTGTAAGGTTAAGTGGTCAATTGGAGTTTTAATTTCCTAGCTGTAGCTCTAAATAAGGTTTGCTTTGTTATGCAGTATATCCATATTATAATTAGAGGAGAGGAGTTGTACCGCCTTGCACATAATGCATTTTAATTCCTTATTTCTCACATCCCGGAAGTCACATTACATCTATGAACCAGAAGAACTAGAGGTATGAAACTCCCAAGAGGAAATATTCATTCCTCTTAGCTATGTATTTATTTGTACATGCTTTTGCAATACTCATGATGCCCTCGGAATTATTTAGAAGGATATATCCTTTGGTGTCTGTTCATACTTATTATATGAGCTATGTTTTACCATCGAGTAGATCTCTTATTACCATGATATTGTCTAATTTTTACATGGATACATAAGGGTAACTTAACGTTGTATGCCGAGCTGGGTCAACATAGGAAGACGCGAGAGCTAAAGCAAATAGACTGCGAGGTTATCAGGATACCGGAGAAATGGTCAATGCTTTAGTCCTTGTAAATGGCACTGGTTTTTCTGGTGCGAGTAAAGCCTAACAGTGGTGTACTCCAGCAATGTGAAGCTGGGACTTCCCTATCAGGCGTGACCTTGTAGCCAAATCCATGAGGAGTCGGAGGCAGTTGCAGCAACTAACCATAAAGCGACGGCGGAGATCCAGTTCATCTGTACATCCAAGGCTGCCTTCTAACCGAACCGCGTCGCGGCAGAAAAATCCGCTTTGATTCAATGCTCTGATCATCTATGCTTTCCTGCTGTAGATTTTTGGAGCTTGCTCTGTTAATCCGTGTTATTTTGTGTATCACAGTTTAGGTCTGACCAGCACAAGGTGGCAACAGCAGTAGTGGCGAAGGCATGAAGAGGCCCACATCTGAAAATCCGTTCTGCTGACTGATCAAGGGAGATGGTCTTAGCATCCACTGTGACAATGTTGTCCAGAACATGGACGACTCTGGAAACTGAAAAGTGTAAGTACCAATCAAATTTGACTATTTAGGTTATGTTCTATCGAACGGCATGAGTTCTTTTATTCATTTAAAAAAGAGAGTGCAACAAGTTTCTCTTATTCGTATTCAAAAGAATTGCGATGAAATGAAGAAACTCTGAGCAGTCATCTCGAATGTAGAGCTTGTAGTTATGTCATAGGTATATGTCTCTCAATTTATGTAAAGATGGGATCATAGGTCTTACAGTATGTCTTTATCTTGGGTGGTGAGCTAAAGGAATTCAGTCTGACAATGATGCTAGCATGCCACTATGTGTTCCTTTCTCTAAATTGACCTACCTATGTCATTCAGAAAAGATTTTGCTTCCAGGCACACAAAGGCCACCGATTGGATCAGTGCGAAGAAACCCGTTCGGACCGCTGCCGCAAGCCTCGCCTCAGCAACGGATCAACCTCTACACCTACATCCACTTCGACAGGTTGTCAGTCAAAGCAGATCCATTTTACCCTCCTTCATGCGGATGAATCTGATCAAGTTTATTTCAAATTCGCCTCTGCCTGCCTGCTTCTAGCAGGGTTGCATTTCTCCAATTTTCAGAGCTTCGAATCACTACCTACGAATTGCGTATGTGATTCATCATCGTTCAATTACCCCGTACCCTATGTGAATTATATTCTGAAGTACAGGTTGACAACAACCTACTAGCTGTACATACTTTTCTAGCTGGTACACAATAAAAAGAAAGGGCTTGAGTAAATGCAGATTGTTCATTTCATATCTATCAGAAGTTCCTGCATTTGTTTTCCAGTAGCCATAATCAATGTCAGTCACACACTTTGAAGGTTTTACACTTTTATTTGGTATCCTACTGTGCTGCATGATAACATCCACATTTACACGTAGTTTAGGCCTAGTAAAGCATTCCCCCCCTTGTTTCTTCAGCTTGCAAGAAAGGTTATGGATTCTGGGTTGACATTCTATTTATAAAAAGGTGCCTACATGAAAAAAAAATCATTGAAAAGCCAAGTGAGACACAATAACTGTTCACCCAAATCATTGTCCTGGCTCAACGCCCTCTGCGACACAGAGGCTGGCGGGCTCTCGCTCTGCACCCGCCAATCCGGCGAGGGTGCTATCCTGTGAATTTGTCCGAATTCTGAAACTATTGCATGTGCACTATATGTATGATGGAAGGTCTCACTTAAGAAGTGTCCAAACTGAGGTACTAGATAACTGGCATACTTAATGGAAGAGACATTCGCCCTAACCTGCAACTGCACCAGTTATATAGATGCACATATAACTGATTTGTTGCTATCTGAGACCATTATTTTAATTGTGAATCTTATTTTTCTTTACCTCTAGGCCATGAACCATCTTACCCTTATATCAGAATTCATGTTTTATTTGCTCCTATTTTGTTCCTTACCAGTGACAGTGCAGCTTCCTAAATGCATAAAGCTCCCGGGAAGGTAAAACTATGGTGTTTCATTAAATTGAAATCTGTCATTTATATTTGACTGCTTCAATCTTCTCTAAAACCGCAGGTATATCTGTACAGCGAACTGGATTATGCATTAATTGGTTGATTCAGAGCTCTTGTATCTTCAGTGGCATTCACCTTTGGGCAATTCAAGCGACCACAGG